CTGCCAAGCCACGTGACTGTAACAGCGAATCAGAATGCGGAACACCGGTTGCGCTTCTCTGATATCTAGGACTCTAGGACGGATACTAACTAGTAACTTTCTATTGAATTATCTTAATTTCGGCGAAACTTATAAACATATACATGATATGTGTATTTAATTAATCATTTTGATGCATATTTTACCAATTTAGTACATCATTCTTTAAATACATATATATATTGTTGAAATTAAAATAATTTAATAGAAAATTACTAGTTATTACGCGTGTCTAGAGTCCTAGATTTATCAGAGAGGCGCAACCGGTGTTACGCATTCTGATTCGCTGTTGCAATCACATGACTTGGCAGCCATTTATAGTACTAGTGACATATTTCTATTTCATTTTATCCTATACATTCTATCTCACTCTATCTCATTCTTGCTCTTGAACAGTATCCATGCTGACTAAATTGTGATTACTGATATCATACAGAAAGCCTGATTACTTGTTCGTTAACAGTAGATGTATATGCTTCACAATTATCATTTTTTTCAATGTTTCTTGAATGTAAAAACATAATACTGCAATCGTACCTGCAATTATACAATATTTAAAGCTGGTTCGACATTACATTAATCGCAAGCGTTGCGGTCCAATCAACATCGATCTAGCTTGATTCTGATTGGACCACAACGCTTGCGACACGCTTACGACGCTGCGCTGCGACTAAAGCCCATTCTACAATTGCGTAAGCGTAGTTGTAAGTGGTTGTAGTTATAAGAATTAACCTATCACAGTCAAATATGAGGAGAATATTCGACTGTGATTAGTCAATTTTTATAACTACAACCACTTACAACTACGCTTACGCAATTGTAGAATGGGGTTAATATAGAACCAGGTTAATTTTCAATCTTATCTTGAAACATTTCTGTTTTAATTTACAAACAAGCAATCACAAATGACTTTAAAATTACTTCATTTCAAACAGTTGGAATACTCCATAGAATAAACCATATGAAATTCTTCTACGTATCATACAGAATTATTTATCTGAGTAATGCAATAATATTTTTTTAAATTTCAGGAATAATTTTATCGAGAATCTTTACCATCGAGTAAAGTTTTACTCTGTTAACAGCAGTGCAAATTAAAAGGTTATAGTGATACGCAAAAGCGATTATAATCACAATTAATCAACTGACTTATTAATACATAAATATTCCCTCTAAAGAATTGATACGATTCATTTAAATATAATTTTATATTAATTTGTCTTGTCTTGTTTGACAGTTTAAAGGCAGTTTCATAGCATGTCAGCCATGTTTAGTACCCTCCCTAGTACCTTTGTCATACTGACTTAAGCCGCTTGCGCCTTTCTGATAAATCTAGGACTCTAGGTTGAGTTAGTTAATTTTTTAAAATTAAGTTAAGGATAATGGCTTACAAAATTAATGGCTGGTTTATGCTTCAGTCTTAATCTTAGTCTTAAAAGTTGGCAACATAGAATGCCATAAGATCATTTATGCTTCCCCAGTCTTAACCGTAGTCTTAATCTTAGTCCCAGAAAGTTCCTATCTTTTAACTTAGTCTTGCTATAGTCCTAATTCCTTAAGATTGAGCCAATGAAAGAGCAAAGATGTCGGACGCGGATTTAATTGAATGTAATGAATGTAATGTAATGTAATATAATGTAATGTATTTAATGAATGTAGTAATCCAAATGTCAATATTAATATTTTACGTCGCCGATTCATTTTGCTGATTCAGTTTGCGGTTATGTTTCTTTACGTATGCGCAGGCGCAGTTTGAATTTCGAGGGAAGCATAAACCAGTACTTAAGATTAAGTTAGGACTAATTTTAAGATTAAGATTAATGCCGAAGCATAAACCAGGCTTTAAAATAATTTTTTATTATATAATCAATGCATATCACAAGTGCATATCATAAATAAAAAAGAAATAAGTTATATAATCAATGTTAAAAGTACATTCAATTTCACAAACAAATTATATTATTAAATATTTGGATTATTTTACAACATAATTATTATACAACATAATTAAAACATAAATATTTTATTATTTATAAGATTTTAGAATGTAATTAACATTTATCATAAAAAAATAATATTTGCATATAAACTATACTGCATATAAACTTTATATATCAGTAATATAATAATATAATTATTTAATACAATTATGCATTGCCATCGTCTTATAGCGTTTTTGATTGGGAAAAAGTTAGTGCACACTCAGTTCACACCAACACTGTACGAGTTCCATGGGTTGCACTGAATAATGCAAGTTCAAAAGAACACGCCAAGATTTTCAGTGCTAAATCTGAAATGCCATTTCGAGTTGTAAGATTGTAAGGACTTGACTAGACTGCAGGAAGAACGCAGAAAAATAATTTCGACATCTCATATTCATAACTTTAAGTAATGATTTTGTACTATATGTAATTAAATAATATACAAGATATCAAGAATATCATATATGTACATACTTATCAATAATTGTACACATTTGCATGCTATAAATTACAGATTTGCTTGTCCCTATTATATATCCTTTTATACTTATACAAAACGATGCACTGATATCCTATATATGTATCCAGTGCACTAAAGTGGCACCGTCAAAATATCTCGTGCCACTTAGTGCGCACTGAGTGCGCACTACGCGAGTGTCGTGCGATCAAATGAACACGTGACACTAGCCAAGACTTGGCTGCCAAGTGTGCATTGGCACTGTCAATCGAACACGCTCTTGACACTGAGTGCAGCCAGTGTACCCCAATCGAAAATGATATTACTTCCCATATAATTTTTGGATACAGCGTTTTTTGCAAGTATTATTTTTGCTAGTATTATTACAACCAACTGCTGCACAGAGTACCATCTCGCCAAAAAATGTCTGTATAAAAATGATTAAAAATATATTTTGTCTAATATTATTCATTACAAAGCAACAAGAAAACATTTATAAACTGAGTATAATGTTTGTATAATATTTAACCTAATCTAATGTTTTCTTTAGCAGGATTAAATGGCAATTGTAAATCCCCTGTTTGGTTTTCCGACCCTATCATTATACAGAGGCTATTTTACAGAGTTTGTACTCTGCAACTATCTAACCTGATAATTAACCGGAAGTTTTGCTATAAATGGCGGAGCCAATCAGCATTAAGCACATGCGTTGGCGTCGCTCTCTTTATACCCACTCTAGCCCGTGCCGCAAACCGCG